CAAGAAAACACCATTAGTCCTTCATCTCCGTACGACTGAGCCCTTGTTTATTAATCGAATTGAATTTAATGGCATATTTGTGTGCGTCTTTAATTCATATTCAAATTGATGAAACTTAATTTTGAGTATTCCAAACACACATAACTCTCCTTGATCACAACTCCATATTTTGTGTCATAACTCGCTTCTGAATATCCTCAATAATCAAATGTCATGGCCTTGTTCTTGAAGTACCGTTGATATATTAGAACCCGAAATCCTCCGTTGACTCTAAAGAGACGTAGGCAGAGATTCATCTATGATATCTTTAAAAATATTGCTCCATGAATAGCCCAAAGAAAGAAGTCTAGAAGTGAAATCCTCATTAAGTGGGAAAACTTAGGGCAACCTCTGGTTAGGATCCACTGGTTATGCCTTGAGATGCTTGGCTGTAAGAAATCTATACCTTGATACCGTTGCACTTGCACAAGTTGGTTAGCCGTAAAACATAGAATTAAATTAAACATCAAATAACAAAAGAAAATGCGCGGAAATAGGTGGGATCTTACGGTCAAAAATTAGGGTGTGATAGCATGATAACTTTTTCAGAGGATAAGTTTCCTAACAAGCTTGTTTGGATGCATAACATGGATGAATCTCTAGATTTTAAACAAGCTTATAAATTTTAAAGGCCTCCTAGTCAAATGCTTACTTGGACTAAAATGGTTTGGCACAAAGATATTCTAATCTCTAAGTTTATCACTATTTGGAGGTTAATTTATAATAAAGTATCTACTGCTGACAACCTGTGCTCTAGAGGTTTTGTAAGTTTTCTAAATGTGATCTTTATGGTACAATATTGAAATCATCTTTAGATCATTTTTCTTGTGTACTTTTTCTCAACAACTTTAGAGTAGGTTGTTGAATATCATTATTATCTCTATTAAAACTAGTTATATGCATCGTATCCTCAACTCTTATGACAAATCTTGGTCTGACCAATGCAAGATTGTCATCCAGAGTGTCATCATTAATATATTTAACACTATTTATTTTTGAATGAACAATTTTAGGTTTCTAGATAAGTAAATAGATTCGAAATATGTTATATCAATTATATTATGTCTGACGTTTCCCTCTGTGAAAACTATACACACGTTTATATTGCTCCTAACATGGAAAGATTTGCAATTCTTAAAGATCATGATGTGAATATTTATCCTCCTAAGGCTCTTAAAATCAAAGAGATCTAGTGGAATTCTCCTATAATCAAAGAGATTATGAGGATGAGAGTTACAACCTTGTGATGATGATGTTATGGTGATATAGACGCCCCCTTTGTTGTGTAGCGGAATCACTTGGAATCGCCTTAGGTGTGGTCCTGAGGTTACCGTGTGGTAGTACTTCCAGTTATGAAGCGACTCATGATGGATTTCTTTGTTTGTTTTCCATTATATGTAGAAGTATCTCATTAAAAAGATGCATGTTTTGTGTTGCACTAGGTTATAGATGTTTGTTATGAGTTCATTTACACTTCATATCTTAAGTGTGGTTTAGATTTTTTGGAGGTTCTAGACATTTCCAGTCCTTACAGTTACAATTTTCATGGAGTTTGTTTTGATGTTTGGCCTTGGTTAATTGTATAAATAGTTGGAACGAAAGTAGAACCTATAAATTTTCATGTCCAATTGGGCAGAGTGGTCAGGATCTGGCAAAATGTAGCGGTTGGAGAAGTCATTGGAATTGGATCGCATGTCCCAATGAGAGGAAGATGATCTTCAGGAGTGGAGATGTGGACTGGAGGGACAATGTCAATCACAGAGCCAACATTGTGATGAGCAACTGATCGAGTTTCTTTGGAAGCCACCATTGCTGACGATGATAGAAATGAACGGTGATCTGTAATAAATGATTGTGACGATGCAATAAGAGAAATATGAGAAGTATAAAGTAGAATTTATTGATAATTAAGAAATGATTCTCACAGAAGATGCCATTATTCTGATGTGGAACAGGAAATTGGAAATATGTTAGTGGAGTTCATCGCAGAAGTTCTCAATACGTTGGTGGGAGCCTACGACGAATAGAGCGAGGATCTATCGATGAATTTAGCACTTCAATGTTCAAGTCACTGAAGTTAGAGAGATGGAATTTGCAAGTTTATATGAATCATACTTTGGTGTGACTTATAGACACACTTATATATGAATGATGGTTAGAACCAACTCTTGTAAATCAACGCCTGATATGGGAGACCGTTGAATGAACCTCAATGGTTGAGATAAGTGAGCTGCTTAGCTTATATACATAATTACTTAATGAGAATCTACTTATTCGTCTATTTGAGTAGGTGACGCTCTGAGTTGAACCTTCGTGTTGGACCAATTTTATTGAGTTGTTTGGTTGAACCAGAACACTATTAGTTGAAAAACTAAATATATCAATTGTTGAGTGAATAAAAGTATATTAAATATTTGTTTAACTTATGTATTTAGTTTATATAGAGATGAATTTATCTGTTTTTGAATGAATAAAAAAGAGAAATATTAGTTATAGTAATAATCGGATGGAGTAAATTTTACTCGAGAGTAAAGTAGAGGTGTATGTTAAGAAAAATAAAGCATAGAGAAAAAAATAAAAACACAATAACAACACAAGAGGTTAACGTGAAAACTCCAAAACCGGAGAAAAAACCATGGCCGTTGTCAAATGACAACCAGTGGATAACACTATGTAAACATTGTTACAATACATAGACTATCCTAAACTTTCTCAAGGTCCTAATACACCAGAACTCTCCAAAATAAATATTTAACTACACCTCACAACATTCTTCGGATTCTTCGGATTGCCATTTGGAAAGATAGAAAGTAGTCGAAGTTGTGCTTATCTCAAGAGACATACCTACATAAACTTCTCGACAAGTTTGGTATGTTGTATTCAAAGCCTGTTGTGACTCCGACAAATCCTCAATTTAAACTTAGTACTACTTAAAGTCCAAGTACTGAAGCTGAAAGAATCTATATGAGTATCATTCCATATTTTAGTATGGTAGGTTCTTTGATGTATGATATGGTTTGTACGAGGCCAGACATATTGTATGGAGTGAGCCTTGTGAGCAGATATATGGCCAATCCTGGAAAGGCGCACTGACATGCTTTAAAGTGGATTCTCAGGTACATAAATGGGTCTCTGAGTAGAGTCTTGATTTATGGTGGAGCCTGTGGTGATAGAAAAATCGAAATCAAAGAAATTGTCGACTCTGATTATGCAGGTTGTATGGATTCCAAAAATTCTATTTCTGGATATGTCTTCCCTATGTTTGGCACAACAATTAGTTGGAAAACAATGCTTCAGAAGGTTGTTGTGTTATCAACCACTGAAGCAAAATATATTACCTTCACTGAAGTTATGAAAGAAGCATTGTGGCTTGAAGGTTTTGCAAAGGAGCTGAAACTTCAAGGTCGAAGTATCACTTTTAAATGTGATAGTCAAAGTGCAATAAACCTGTCGAAGAACTCAGCCTATCATGAGTGAACTAAGCACATCGATGTGAGGTTGCACTTCGTCAGAGAGATAATCACGTGTGGTGAAATTCAGGTGCTGAAGGTTTTGACTGAAGACAATGCTGCTGATATGATTACCAAGACGTTGCCAAGTTGCAAGTTTTTCCACTGTATGCAGTTGATAAAGCTGCATGATGAAAGATAGTTTATTCTCTGTTGTTTGTAGAGTTAGATCCAAGGTGGAGATTTGTGAGATTTTGGGTCGAACTCAAACTCTGTCGAGGAATAACTTTATGTATTTCGACAGGAGACAAGTATGAAATCGAATATGGGTCGCATGTTGTAGTCAAAAGATGCATATTGTAGTTGAAGTATGTTCTAATATGTATTGTCGAATTGTTTGTCGAAATGAACTTTTTGTTATGGATCCAATTGTTTAGTTAACCTGGGTTGCAAGTTATCTACTTAGTCTATATTAAGGCTAGAACACTCAGTTTGTTGGGTGTGGTCAGATTGTGTTATTCACTTGTAATCTTTTGTAATATTGAGAAAGTGAATAGTATAGCAATTCACCATAATACTTCTTCTACTTCTTTCTTTATCCTTTCTTCTTTCTCTCTTTGTTATAACTAATTTCGTTGTTCATCCAAGAACTCTGTTTCTCAATCTTGATTTGTTGAAAAGTATTGTTTGTGATCACAACAATATTCCAACGGCTAATATATTAACTTAACTATCCATATTTTGCCGTTAAAATAATTGTGATATGTGTCTTTTTTTTCTCTTTGATAACTACTCTTTAAATAATATTTTTAATAAAATTTAAATAATATTTTTTTATTACATGAATTGTAGTCGTAAGACTAGATATCAATTTTTTTTTAAAAAAAATTCACACTTAACATCTTTCTACTAAAATTCATTTAAAGAATTGAGTTAGCCGATGAGATTAAATTATCTACCCATTTAGAGCGGAAATCAAATTTAAAATTAAAACAATTAATATTTGTAAAAATCGAGAAATATTCAAATAATATACTCAATTATTTTGTTACATTTTCATTAAACTATTTAAACTATTTTTTTAATATAAACAACTTTTTAAACATCTTTCAAAATATCCATAAAACAAAAATGTTTTATGAGATATGTCACACATATGAATATTTTTTTATCATAGATACAAAATAAACCCTAAACATACACTACTACACACTAGAAGTACTATTTTCCAAATATAAGTATTGGTGTATAAAAGGTATATAAATTGCAATGAACATTAAAAAAAAGACAAGAATAAAAAAATAAAAAAGAAAGAAAAGGACATGTGTGCCCTCAAGTAAATGAGTTTTAAGATGATGCCATGCATCCATTAGTGGGAATCTCAAGAGAAGTCATTTCTGTCTCTTTGCCTCTTCTTTGCCTTTTAAACACTCACTTCCTATCTACCTTTCTTTCATCATACATCACTCTAAACCTAAACATTACTTACTTCTTTCCATCATCATCATCATCATGTCTACTCACTTCTCCACCCACTTTCTTCCTCCATCTTCTTCTAATCACCATTTCTCTTTCTCTTCTTCTTCTCCTCTCTTTTTTCTTCATCCATTCTCCAAACCCTCTTTAGGTATGTTTTTATTTATTTATTACACTCATTTATACATAATGGTGAATCATAAACATAGATGTTTCTTTGTTTCTCTTAATCAAAACCATGTAGTTATTTTATCTATTATTATTTTTAACTTTCTCATTTTTCTCCGTTTTAGATTGCATGCTAGTTTCTAATATAGGAACATTACATGTTAATTAATTATACTAATTAATATAACATAATTATTATTTTGTGTTACTTAACTTCAATTTTACTTTATCTTCATCACCTTTTATATATTTATATATACCTGGTTTATTTTGTTTAAGCAAAAGAACCAAATAAACGAATTATCGTATATTTGGTTCTGCAATCGATTTTTTTTTATGTCAGTTCAAAATTTCGATATATTTTTTATGTCTATGAATTCGAAAAAACTAGGTTAAAAAGTGAGATCGAAAGCTCAAACGCTAAAAAAATAAATTGCATGGCTAAGATTTTGGTTCTGTAAATTTAAAAATATAATAATTACTTTTTGTTATTTAAAGTTTAACCTTAGTTTAAGAGATAAATTAAAATAATAAGTCTGTGATCTTGGTTCTATAACTTTTCAGCTTTTAAGATTTCACTATCAAAAGCATGTCACAGTTGGAAGATGTGAACTTGTCTGTTGTTTTTTCCTTAACTCAAACAGAAAAGAATAAAAAAAATTAATGTTCTTTTTTATATTTTATTATTTTTTATATACAGGTGCTGCTGTGTCGTTTGCCGCAAAAGATAAACGAGAGAAAAGATGCAGAGCTATATCCAAATCAAGAACTCAGGGTATATATGTAGCTCAGATTCTTTTAATGTTAGTACTTTTTTCTTAAAAAAATATTATTTAAATTAAATGTTTTAATATTATATTTTCTACTTTGCAGAATATGAAGAAGTATTTCAAACTAATGTAGCAACATTAAAGTTGAGTGAAATTAATGTGGAAGATGTCAGAGTCATAGATGATGGGGAGAAACAAGATATTAGGGTACTTTTAACTTTTATGATTAATTAATATCTATTTAATTTTTTCTCTATTTTTTTTCTTTTTTTTACCTTATTTATTTGATTAATACAAATCATTAATTAATATTTTTTTTTATTAATAAGAAGGTGGGTTTAGTGAACAAAATAAAATCAATATTGAGTTCATTGGAAGATGGAGATATAACTATATCTGCCTATGATACTGCTTGGGTTGCTCTTGTTGAAGATGTTAATGCTATTGGCACCCCTCAATTTCCTTCTAGTCTAGAATGGATTGCGAAAAATCAACTTCAAGATGGCTCATGGGGTGATAGTCGATTATTTTCGGCTCATGATCGAATCATTAACACATTGGCATGTGTAATCGCGTTACGATCATGGAACATGCATTCAGAAAAATGCGAGAAAGGTAATATATACCTGTCTTGTTAGATTTTTAAGCTATTATCATAGTCACAGACACATGATCGTTCTTACTGATTAAAAAAATTATGCATGCGCGACTATACAAAATAGTGTAATTTTATAATTACTAATTGATGTTTGGTTATTAATATGTGAAATATAGGAATGATGTTTTTTAGAGAGAATCTTAGCAAGCTTGAGAATGAGAATGAGGAGCATATGCCAATTGGGTTTGAAGTTGCTTTCCCTTCACTACTTGAAAGAGCTAGAGGATTAAACATTGATGTGCCAAATGATTCTCCAATATTGAAAAACATATTTGAAAAAAGAGATGAAAAACTCACAAGGTACCTTAGTTGTGGTCATAATTATGTTTCCACTATGCCCATATCTATTCTCATAATTTGTTTTCAAAGTAACCTTATCTTTTAGCCTTAGAAATCAAATTCAACTATACAATATATTATTACATCAAATTTAGGTTAGGTTAGAATTTTCAATAAAAACTTTTTGATTTTTTTAAACTCTGTATAATTTTATCAGTGCCGTGTTAATTTTTCGAGATTTTATTTAGTCACAATTTAAAATACTATACAGTAATTTGTCTTATACACCCTCAAAACCCTCGAAACGGAATGAAATATGTTAATATTGTACAATAATTGGTATCTATGTGCGGCTAATTGAATGTGGTGTGGTGTTGGAATAGAATACCAAAAGAGATAATGCATAAAGTGCCAACAACATTGTTACATAGCTTGGAGGGTATGTCTGGCTTGGATTGGAAACAACTTCTAAAATTGCAATCACAAGATGGATCATTCTTGTTTTCTCCATCTTCCACAGCATTTGCATTAATGCAAACTAAAGATGGAAATTGCCTTAAATACTTGAATAATGTTGTCAAAAAATTCAATGGAGGAGGTAACTTAATTATCTAATATTTGCCTAACTCTTTGCTTAAATATGTGATTAATTGTATTTAATACATAATTAATGAATATAATATTTTCACTAATTTTGTGTATGTATATATGTTTCAGTTCCAAATGTGTATCCGGTGGATTTATTTGAACATATTTGGGCGGTTGATCGTCTCGAACGCCTTGGAATATCTCGATTTTTTCGACATGAGATCAAAGATTGTATGAATTATGTTTCTAGGTAATTTAATTAATATATACTAGTTACCCTTTAATTAATATTTTGTTTTTACATAAACAATTTTAGCTTATAAATAATGAGTAAATGAAATTTCAGATATTGGAGTGAAAAGGGAATTTGTTGGGCAAGAAATTCAAATGTTCAAGATATTGATGACACTTCAATGGCTTTCAGATTACTTAGATTACATGGTCACCAAGTTTCAGCTGGTAAGAATTTATCTATTATCAGACACGACACTAACATTATATAATGATGAATCGACTGTGATAATAATTAAAAAATAAATAAATTAAATATATTAGTATCAATGTTGGAGTATGGACACGTCATTATTCAAAAGGTTTAGGTTGAAAAAAAAGATCGATATCGAGATTGTGCGATTTTAATGATGAATTTTGATTTTTTTTTTGTAGATGTGTTTAAGCACTTTGAGAGAAATGGTGAATTCTTCTGTTTTGTTGGTCAATGCACACAAGCAGTGACAGGAATGTATAATCTATTTAGAGCCAGTCAAGTGCTTTTTCCAGGAGAGAAAATTCTTGAACATGCCAAACACTTCTCTGCCAAGTTTTTGAAGGAAAAGAGAGAAGCAAATGAACTCATAGATAAATGGATCATAATGAAGAATCTGCCGGAAGAGGTAACTAATTGATTTTTCATTACCACATTAAAATTAAAATGCAGTCATTAGGTTAAATTTAGTAAGAGATTTGTTAGATATAGATGAAAATTTTGTTAAAATTAGGTATAAGTTTGTTAGAAAAGTTGTTATGTTGTTTAATTTTGAAAAATTTAACAAACTTATAACTAGCTTTAAAAAATATCTAAAATTTAACAAACTTATATCTAGTTCAAGAAAGACGGGGGAGGACATACAGGTCCAAAATCATTTATGATTAAATTATAGTTAAATAATGTTTTAGAAAATATTATCATCGTTAAATCGTGGTTAATAGAGTTTTTTTGTCATAATTAGACCGCAACTAATTTACACAGATTATAAATATATAAAACGAATATAGTAAAGAGAGGCAAACGGGCATGTTTGTGTTATTTAGATCTGTCCCATAAAAGTCCTCTTAAAAAATAGAGTGGATAGAGATGAGTATTATGGAGAGCGTTTGTTTAAAATCTGAGTCTGTCCTGAAAAAAATGAGATTGGGGTAGATCCAGTTTGACATTGTACATTTTTTAATGTAAAAATTACAAAAATTTATATTAACGTCTGCAATTATAAAGGTCCTAAAAAAACGGACCAATGAGGTGAACATATTTGTGGATCTAAAAACTTAATCTCTTAAAATAAAGTGTGACTATCAATTTTACCTATTTTCCATCAAAAATTACAGAGTTCTCGAAGAATCATTTACTCGAAAGTTGAGCAAGAAAATACTTACAAAGTCTTAGTTACATACCAGCTCATGTTAAGGAACATTCATAGACAAAAAAATAAAAAAGCAAAATGACATTACACACCTCTCAAACATGAATACAAAGGTTTTAACGTGTCTTATGTTAGTGTCAAAAAAATTGGAATTTATGGGACCATTTTAGGAGTATAAATATACTTTAGGACCACTTTGATGTCCATAATGTTAAAAAATAAGTGTGATATGTGTTGAGAAATAAATGTGAGTTTTAAGTCTTACATTGTTTAGAAAAATGGAGATTGAACACTTTATAAGTAAGAGGACTCATGCACCTATCATCTTAAAGATTTTAAATGAATATGTGATGTCTCTCTCACTTGTTTGGTTGATTCTTTGACTTTTAAATTAGTGTTTGACCTAATAGAAATACTTATCGGTCGTGATCATAGGCCAGAAATAAACAAGCAAAATGACATTACACACCCCTCACCGGCAAACATAAATACAAAGGTTTTTAATGTGTCTTATGTTAGTGTCAAAACATTGGAATTTATGGGACCATTTGAGGAGTTTAAATATACTCTAGGACCACTTTGATGTACATAACTAGGAACTTATGAATGAATGTATTTGTTTTTGTTGGGTAGGTTGGCTATGCATTGGACATTCCATGGTATGCAAATTTAGGTCGTATAGAGACAAGATTTTACATTGATCAGTACGGTGCTGAAAGTGATGTTTGGATTGGCAAAACTCTTTATAGGTACTTTTTTTTTCATAACTAAATTTATCATACTCCAGATTTTGAATATCAATCTGTAACAATATTTCACTTATTTATCTTTAAATTGTGAAATTTTATCCACAAGACTATTTGACTCAAAAATTTATATAATCAAAACTAATTTGTAATTTTTTAAAAGGATGGCGTATGTGAACAACAACAATTATCTCGAGCTTGCTAAATTAGACTACAACAATTGTCAAGCACAACATTTAACCGAATGGAACGCAATTCAGAAGTAAGAGTCTTAGAATTTGGATTGCACTCATAACATGAATGACTCTTTTTTCATTGAACTAACAATCATTGTTGAAATGGTCATATTTTAGGTGGTACTTAGAATCAAGATTGGGAGAATTTGGATTGAGCAAAAGGGATCTTCTATTGGCTTATTTTTTAGCAGCGGGAAGCATATTCGAGCCCGAAAGATCTCATGAGAGACTTGCTTGGGCAAAAACTACCGCTTTGCTTGAGACAATCAAATCTTATGTTAGAGATGAAGATTCGAGGAAAGATTTTGTGAAAAAATTCAATGACTACATTGATCTTCGAGACTATTCAATTGGTTGGTAAGTTTCTGATGGCCAACTCGGCATTTATAACGTGTACAATTATGTTAGATTAATTCTTTTTTTTTGCATGCAAAACATTCATTGGCCTACTCAACTAGTCTTTAGACTAATGTGAAAATGAAAATTAACATTTTTATGTGTATGAAATGCAGGAGGTTGAAGAGGAACAAAATAGAACATGGAGAACATGAACTTGTTGAGACTTTGTTTGCAACCATAGATGAAATATCATGGGATGTAAGATTGTCTTATGGTCATGAAATTGGATACCATATGCATCAATGTGTGAGTTTTTCAAACCTCAATCCTCTCAAATTAAGGTTTTATGCATCAAAATTTTAGGTTAAAAATGTCATAAAAATATCAAACTTAATTAAATTTGAATTATATATTATTAAATTATATTTTAATTAAAAATATTATTTATATTCTCAAAAAACCTTTAAATTTTTTATATATATGAGATCCTCAGCATAATTATTTCGGTAGAAATTTCTATAATCTTATATAAATTGACATATCTAACTTTAATAAAAGTCGGATCAATATAATATTAATTAGTTATAAATTGTATCTGCCGCTAACGTCAATATTCTTAACATGATTTTATTTTTCCTGTTACCCTACAGAGTGATTTGATTTTATTTTTCCTGTTACCCTACAGAGTAGCCAACTGAAAAAGAAAATCATGGGTACAGAAAAAGAGAATCAAACATGAGTAGATTAACCAAATCACCAAAGTATTGGTTGAAATTTTACAAGCATTTTGACTTTTTTTCTTTCTGTGATTGTAGTGGAAAAAGTGGCTTTCAAGTTGGCAAAGTGAAGGAGACAAATGTGAAGAAGAAGCAGAACTTTTGATACAGATAATAAACCTAAGTTCGAACCATTGGACTTCTGAAGAACAAATATGCAATCCACAATACAAGCATCTTCTTCAACTCACCAACTCTATATGCCATAAACTTAGTTGCTATCAAAAGGACAAGGTTAGTGACAACTCTAACTTTTTCTAAAATTCAAATTCTTCAAGTTGCACTTTACACAATCATAAATCTACAATATAGATAAGATTTTAGGATAAGTTTCTACAATTGTGATTTAACCATGATATTGAGTTTTGTCAAAATACTCATAATTGAAATCTTTTGATTAGTTTACATACCTCATATATAGGATAAGGTGCATAGGTTTTAGGCACTACATAATTTTTTAATGGAAACCCTATATATATATATATATATATATATATATATATATATATATATATATATATATATATAAAGATTTGCTACAGTAGATTCATTTGTTTTTATGAAGATCTACTGTAGCAAATCTTTATATATAAAGATTTGCTACAGTAGATTCATTTGTTTTTATGAAGATCTACTGTAGCAAATCTTTATATATATATATAAAGATTTGTTACAGTAGATTCATTTGTTTTTATGAAGATCTACTGTAGCAAATCTTTATATATATATATATATATATATATATATATATATATATATATATATATATATATATATATATATATATATATATATATGAGTATAAAAAGTTTATGGTATATTGTTTGTTGATTGGTTTAACTTTCTTGAATGAAAAATCTAGGAACTAAAAGGCATCATCTACCAAGAAAACATCACCATCTCAGAAGTAGAGTCCAAAATGCAAGAGCTTGTACAAATGGTGTTTCAAAAATGTCCCAATGACATTGATTTTAATGTGAAGAATACTTTCTTCACAATTGCGAAGTCCTTTTACTATGCAGCTTTCTGTGATTCAAAGACCATCAACTTTCATATTGCCAAAGTTCTCTTTGAAAAAGTTGTTTAATCAAATTTATTTATTTGTATAGGTATTAGTTCACTTTCATTCTGTGCATATATATTTTCCTTTAATGTAGTATCGAGAAACAAAAAAGGAAAATATTTGTTATTATGATTCAATGTATATACGTGGTTGGTTTCTTATAAATTTCTCCTAAAACTTTCTTTTTTTGTTTGTTATTTTACCAAATTTTACTTTAGCTTGAAGATTCATACTCCTTATTATAGTCTTCAATGAATGCTTGTTATATTTATATATTTGAGCTCATTAATTAACTAACTAACCAAAACACTTAGAATTGTGTTTAAAATACCCCCTTCAATTCTATGATTTTAAATGCATAAGGTGATGACAATCCGTTATCACGAATTTTTATGAGTACTTTTTAGTATTTTTTAGTGAAGAATTACATGACTTTAAGTTGAATTTTAGAAAGTTGAAGAAAAAAAATGACACAACACTAGAAAATCGTAGGGCGATTTTTCTTATTCGTTGAATGTAGGGCTGTTAAAATGGGTTATTCGGGTCTATAAGGGTCGGTTCTGAATGAACTCGGGTTAATTAGAGCTAAGTCAAAAAAGCTCTGTTACGATATAGATTTGAAAACTATTATCTGAGTTCGGCCTTAGATAGGCTTCGGACTATTTGAACATAAATGGATTTTTTTAAATAAAAATAAAAATAAAAATCTCATAATATTTATTATAAATGAAATTATAAATTATATTATTTTAAATATAATACATTTTTAAATAATATATTATCTTTTATTAATACTATAATGTATTTTTTAATTTAACACGTGTCTAAAGTCTATAAAATAATACTCGAATATTTAATATAAGGAAAATTAATAAAATACGAGAAAAGATTGTTAATTATATTAATGTATAATATTTAAAAGAGAAAAAATAAATAGAATAGAGATACAATTTAGTGATGTGATTTTTAGGGCCGAGCTAAAAAAACATGAAAAATACGAGCTCTAATTTTAAGGTTTAAACCCTATAATTTTTCGGGACTTAATGGTTAGCCCATATAAACTATCTCATTTTGACAGTTCTAGTTAGATGGTGCCTTTACATTGTTGCGCGATTGGGATGTTTTGGATCATTATAAAAGGAAATTTGAAAACTCTTTTAGGGGTAGAATAATTGGATTTTTATGACAAGAAGGATTTTGAGAGTAAGGATCCAATGCTTTACACTTTTGAAAACTAATTTCATCTATAAACTCATGTATCTCTCTTATAACTCTTTGGCTATGAATAATTTGAGTATAAGCAGCTAAATTTCTTTTGATTAGGCTTTTTAGATGAATTTATTTCAAACTATTTGAAATATTTTATTGTATGAGTACTATTATATAAAATTGTAATTTTAGTATTATTCAAATAAAATTGTGTTTAATGTTTTTTGTATGTTGACGAATGCATGAATTGATTCTAGATTTTGAATGATTACCAACCTTAACTTTTGAAACTTGATCTAATTTAACTTTCAATTAAATAAATACTTTAGACATATTGAATTATTCATTTGTTATATAGGGATTAACATTCATGACCCGAAAAGAAAATCTAGTGGTAAGATGAAACCTTCATGGTCACAACCGAGGCAGATAACGCCCCTCTCTTCAGTCTAACCTGGAAAAAAAATCTAGTGGCGATCATTGGTTTTAACTTTGATTTCCTAACATTTAAATGAGAAGATGGTGTTTAACACCCTACTTCCCGACTCAACAAATAACTAACTAAAACAAGTATAACACATATATCCTCTAAGTAGGATGCTACTCAAACTACAATCAAAACATATAAGAACCACATAATTGAAAACTAAATCAGTTAAAAAGCATTAGAAATTATAAATTAGTCGACATAAAGAGCTTCAATAATAATAAATCCAAATAAATAAATGATATGCAACATTAGAAAAACATATAAAAGAACAATATATTCCCCTCGTGTTACATATCAGAGCGGAACGTGAGAGAGTGTATGCAAATGTACATTTTCTTGGAATTTTGTTTGTATGTAACAATAACATTGTCTTTCCCTTAATATCGCGGCCAACATAGCAATTTAATTGAGATGGCAGTGAAAGACGGTGACACATGTCACCTTCGTATTGAAGATTTTCTTTATCATCAACTTGTTTTCCTTATCCTGTGTGACCTTCACATGACTTTTCACTGCACACCCTCGTTTAATACCCTTTGATGGAGTCAATCTTGACTCAACATTAAATCTTATGCTTAAGATCTCTTCAACAGTTAACTGAGTTGACTGAGGGTCTGCGGTAAACCCTCCACACAGTGGGCCTCTTGGTCATTGGGCTTAGGGTAATTTATTATATACACCCCTGGTTTACTAGCCAATCCAGCCCATTTCCTTCTTTTCTTATTATTCTTATTTATTTAATTAATTTTTTTTTCTTTTTTCAATTACTTTTCCTTTTTTTATTTTATTTAATTATGAAAAACTTAAAAATATTTTCCTAACTAAATTTTAATTAATTTTATTAAAGATTTATATTTAATATTAATTAATCTAATTAAGGATTAACTTTATTAAATATTTAAGTTTAATCTATTTAATTTTTTTATTTATTAATTTTTCCCTAATTATAAAAATTCAAAAAAAACTCGTTTAAGTTTTTAATCATCTTAAATGTCTTTATTTAATATTGATTAATTATTTTTATTAGTTAATCTTATTAAATATTTACATTTAATCTGATTAATGAATCCTCCTTAAGTTGATTCTACTTTGTTCATGATGATTGTGCCTTTGCTAACATGTGATTGAGATCATAATATATTTGCTTTTAATTCCCTTTCCACATGTGCATGTTCAAACCTATTTTTCAAAATAAATTCTTGATTCAACGTGTAGCCATTTTTCACTCTTGTAAGTCAATTGTCTCGTGTGTCGCCATCAACCTCATGGTCACTATACACAACATTCATAGCTTACTCTTGGAATTTCTTACAATGAGACTTATTCGATCAATTATTTCTAGTTGGTCTTCTAAAAGACTAACCCACTTTGCTAGTAGACACATAATTAAAAATAATTTAATTGTTTTGTCGCTTTCATGCCTCCCTTACTTGTGTATATTTGTTGTTTGGGTTGTGTGTTTACCATTCGTGCTTATCCTCATTCAAAAAGATGTACCCTCGTCCCCATGAAGTGTAAAATAATTTTATTGTTTTCTTTTACTTGCTTGTTTATATTCTTGCAGGTTGATTTCAAACCCTAAAGCATACTTGATCCATATATCAAGCCATATCCCACTCTTGTAAGTCGATTTCCTTATGCATTACCATCAACCTTACTCAATACAATTAGGATCCCCTTACCATTTAGTTCAAACCCTTACATCGTTCAAATGCAAATTAAAACCTCGATTAATATCGAGTATTTTCTTCAAAACAAATTAAATCAATTAATCATACTAAGACCATATTTTATTAAAAGATAAAAAGGGAGTTGGACAGGAGTCTTCGAGTCCTCTCTTCGATTGTTTGGGTATGAGGATGCTTCCTTACACTCGAACAATTATCTTCTCTAAAAGACTTATAATCCGCTCCACATCAAACTATTTTCATAATAAACCAAATCAAACATAATTTTCTCAAATTAATTAAGGTTGGAGAGGGAGAGAGAGAGAGAGAGAGAGAGAGAGAGAGAGAGAGAGAGAGAGAGAGAGAGAGAGAGAGAGTCGAGTCTTTGATTCACTCGCCTGAATACTTGGATATAAGGAGTCTTCCTTAGCGTCCAAGTGCTTGTCATCTATTCAAAACACTTTAACTATATTAAACTCTTTCATAATTAAGGTTGAAAAGAGAGAGCGTTGAGCCTTCAATTCACTCCCCCGATTGTTTGGATACAAGGAGCCTTCCTTGGCATCTAAATGATTGTCATCCTAATAAAACATCAACATATTAATCTAACTTCTCACCTCCGTGCGATTAAAACCTTTTCTTAAAAGGATGATGTTTAGTTCCTTCTAATGTGCATACAAACTAAACACTTCAACCTCCCTCCGTGAGCATACAAGCTAATGTTTACCCTTTAGAGTGTGATTTAAATGTCCGTTCGATAAAACGAACCAACCAAATATAGTCTCACGAACTATGGACGCTCTGATTCATTATTTTTTTAAAAATGAAAATACATAGTCACAAGAGTCTCAATCCTTGGCGAGCACCCTAATAAAAACCACTCATTTCCCCTTAGAAAATAAAACTCTTTTCTCTTACCTTTTGCATTATTCCCTTAGAAGAAAACAAACAACATTAGCTAACATTCCTCACAAGTCGAATTAAGACATTTTTGTTGAGTACAACAGACGTGAGGGATGCTAATACCATCCCCTCACGTAATCGACTCCCGAACCTAGAATTGGTTGCAATGACCATATTCTTATCTTAAATGTTTTATTGATATTTTCTTATTCCTTCATTGGAATGAATAAAGTTCGGTGGCGACTCTATTTGAATATTTTTTCCGTGTCCATCACGAAGGATCGTATTTTTTTTCGAGGTACGACACACACTGATTAACATTAATCCATATATATATATATATATATATATATATATATATATATATATATATATATATATATATATATATATATATATATATATATATATATATATATATATATATATATATATATATATATATATATATATATATATATATATATATATATATATATATATATATATATATATATATATATATATATATATATATAAATATAATAAGCTAATTAACTTCTCTTAATTCAACTTTTGGCCTAACTAAACATGAGTTTCTCTCCACTAACCACCTAGTTCTCTTAATTTACAAAATTAGCCAAATTCTTCATATTCTACCAATTTTCTATTAATTAATTATTAAATCTCACCAAAACTAATTAATCAAGCACAATTCACCACAAATGCCTGCCAAATACGTCAAAATAACATTAAATAATTATTTAAATAATTTA